TGTTTTTGAGTTAAGGGTTTTAGTCTTATTCCACTAGAAGTTGACTTTAAAGCCTCTCTTGGCAAAACTTGGTAAATAGATTAGCCAAATTCTTGCAAGATTTAACATAAATTATTATTACAATGCCATTTAAGATTAATTCTCTTATGTTGGCATGTTGCAGACTTATATTTCTAGACTTTCCATTGTAGATCTTATTATGAGCTACATACATTGTAACCTAAGTGTCACAACATATGGAAATGGCTAGCATCAATTGTGGTTACAACTTTATATCTAATAATAAATTTTTCAATCATTGCACTTCTTTTCCAATAACTACTAATGCAAAAAAAAATTTTTCCATTGTAGAATGCGTAATACAAGTCTACTTTTTAGATGCCCAACTAATGGCACCACCTCCGAAAGTAAAAATCTATCTTGATGTGGATTTATTGTCATTAATATTAGTTATCTAACTAACATCAAAATATCCTTTTAAAGTACTAGAAAAACTACTGTAACAAATTTTCAACTTTTTGATTTTTTTTAAAATTCTAAATACTCTAGTAATAGGCTTCCAATGATCTTTGCTAAGCTTACTTGTAAACCTTGAAAGTTTGGCCCTTGGTTTTCTAGTGATATATGCTTCGTTCACCTGTCAACTTAGTCCTTAATTATAAGAAATAAAAAATATTTGGTACTTAATTGTTATAATTGAAACATTTTGTCTTTAATTGAAAATTTTTCCAACGGTTAGGCCCAGTTTGAGCATTTAACCTTTTCGTTTATCTTCTATTAAGACCTTCCATCTAATCAACAAATTTTCCTTGTTCATTTTACCATGACCTAATTATTAATCCCCATTAACCAACAAAAGTTCGTATTCACTTCTTTTTGTTCTTGTCTCTTAGAAAACTGTCTTCATATCAAATGCATGAACGAGGAATTTTGGTCAATTTTCTAGTTTCATTTCATGTTTATATTTTTCACACTATTTCTATATGTCACCGCTATTTGCTTTGTGCGTTCCAGCGAGATAGTTGGTTTTTTGGTAAGGCGATTTTAATAGTGATGTTAAAGTCATTAGGTTCATTGAATAGCACTAGGGATAGATCAAGGAATTGAAGCATTTGGAGTCATTTGAAATTAATACGATACCTCCAACTTGGGTATTATAGCAATCGTTGAACATATAGATTGAGGCTTATCAGTAATCTATGAAATAAAAATTTGCGGTCATCTTTTATTTGGCAATTTGGGGATTTACCTTGACTTGGCACTTCGTATGTCTGTTGTCCAAGTGATCATATATCGTCAAGAATCTAATCCAATCAAATTAACCTAAAATACACGTAAAAGAGAAGTCAATGTAGCAGTTTAATTGGTCAACTAGTTGTTTCTAAAGGACCCAAAGGACACGCACTGCTAAGCTTTGCCAAACTAGTTGCAGTTCCAACTTGTTGAAACGTTGGTGACATAATATAGCTTTCGGCTGCCACTTTCATTTGTCATTGTCCCCCTCTCTTTCAAGTCCTTTGTTTTTTTTTTTTTTTTGAAAGCAATAATTTGATTCATTTCTCAGAATAAAATGTACAAAAAACTACTCTTATGTGGTAGTGGAACAGCCATAATTTCTAACATGGCATGTTCTGCCTGAGTCGAAAAATCCATCAAGAAAAAGCACCAACCCCTTAGGTTGCAGTGGGATCAATATATAGTCTATACACTCTTTCAAGTCCTCATGACTGGGTTTTTTCCTAAGATAATACACACGTATAAGTTGATGATGTTGCAAATATAATCAATGAACCAAGAAATAAAAGAGTTAGAAAATCCGGAACTTATATCTTTAAGTTTTTTCTTTGGTTCTTGATAGGGGCGGACCTACCTAATTGTTATATTATTTACTTAAAGTTTTATATATTTAATAATACAAATAAATTCAATAATTTTTTTTGTAGTTTTGTATGGAGTGGCGTCAAACTAGAGTTATCAAAAAGTAATTTATATAATAATATTTAAATATTACATAGAAAGAAAAAAATTTTCCTACTATAATTTAAGATTTTATTATAAAACTCAATTGACTGTGCTTTTCACTCTTTCAAAACATCTAATATAGGCTTTAATTGAAAACAATTTTTAATATAAATTAAGTTTTTAAATATTTAATGTCTAAATAGTTTTTTTATTAATTTGATAGTTTGGGTTCATAATTATAATGTAGCTAGCTAATAGAAAATAGTATTACATATCCAATAATATCTTGAAATTATGAATTTTTTTTTTGCTTTATTCTGTAAATATGTTGTTTGACTATTTTGTAGACAAATAGAAATACTATGTATCCTTTAGTTTATTTGCTGATAAAGCTTGTATTGATCTTACCAATTGCAACAAATCAATTAAAAGAGTTTTTCAATAATGAAATTTATAAAACACAGACTATGCAATTGAACGAGTCTTTGTGACATATATTAAAAAAAAATGTGTTTGATAATATTTTTACTGTGCTATTATGTATTATTATTAAAATATAAAAAATTATCATAAACAATTATAGTTATCTTAAATATGTTTATTTTGAAATATTAAATAAATGTATTAAATTTATATTTTTTAAAATTAATATTAAATTTTTTTAATTTATAAATTTTAACATATTTATATTTTTTAATTATTATTATTATTTTTCTTATGATACTATTCACAAAAATTCGTGTATCCGTCCTTTGCTTTTGATTGCAGAATTTAGTGTTCTAAGGAAGATCTTAAGTGTTTATGCTGAATTTGACCTTGGATGTAATGGTGTTCATTACCCGCAAAGGGCTTATTGATAAAGGCCGGATGTTTTTAAGGAATTTTTTTTAAAAGAAGCAGATTTTATTAACCTAATCAGATCATTATAACCTTTAACGGGCGTTGGGGTGTAAGATCCATGCCATTTTTTTTAAAGGTAATAAATATTTAATTTCATTTCATTAGAAACCTCTACTTTCACGAAAAAGGCCAAACAAAAGCAATTGTCTGTACAAATTCAAATTTTATAAAAGATCTGTACAATTGCCAAAGGTTTCCGCACAAAAAAGACGTCGGCAGTAACAATACAGCATAGAAAGAAATACCCTACTAGTCTTATAGCCCATTAGCTGCATCCCACATAAATCAGCATCCCTAAACAAAAATAGGTGAGCTGTCCTGATCTAAAGAGGAATTGACAGGTCGGCTTTTTTGGTGCACTTGTTAATGCTTCGGGACTAGGAGATGCTTCTTGCTTTTATATTTTTGTTTTAATTAGGCAGTTTCTGGTTTCTTTTGAATTAGCACTAGGTCTTAATTATGTGCTTTGCTGGTACGTTTTAACTCTATTAACTTTTGATTTCGTACTGGATAAAATCTAATACAAAGTTGGAATAAACTCATGCACTATAAAATTTGAATTTGAAATCGATTAATGAATTTAATCAGGACCTCCACCTTACTTTTGAGACAAATCGTCATTAATTTGCTCAAGTCTTCACAAATTGAAAAGAATTTATTGATGCTAAGAAAGCAGTACTAATTAATTATTTCAAACATTTACAACTTTCAAAATGAATTTAAGTTATCAAGAAAACAAAGCCTACTAATGAATTTGTCCACCCAAAGTTAGATTAGTGATCCAGCACAACATAACACCATTATACAAACCATTTCTTCACGTTAATTAGAAGTTCAACAAATTAACCTATAGCACATATGTCATTAACGTTTTCCATATCAAGATATATGAATCCAAATTTTTATTAATTTGATAGGGTTATTTTGATATTGTTACTAGTACATGTTAAAGTTTGTATTGTTGATAAGCTTTGGACCTAAGTATAGATAAATAATTTAGAGGCATTTTAAAAAATAACCCTTAAAGATAAAATATTTTTAAAAATAACATTTTTTATAATTTTAATTAATTTTAATCAAGTTGGATAAAATTACTCTTAATGATGTTACACACCATTACACGATACTACACGTCATATTAAAAAAATGTTATTATTACATATTATTAAAAAAATTTGTTACATGCCAAGTTGAAAAAAAAAATTATTATTCTTATACGTACAAATACATGTTATACGCTATAGTTAAAAAAGATTGTTACAAGCCTTAGATGTCATGATTAAAAAATATTATTACAATTCATGTTAAGAAAAATATTATTGTTACATATTATATTAAAAAAATGTTATTATTACATGTCATATTCAACAAAATTTTATTACATTTTAATAGCTAAAATGTTGTTATTTATGAGCTAAAACTTCAAATCCTCTCAACTCTTTTGGCACCGATAAAAGTATGTTTAATATGTTGCAATATATCAAAACATAAATTTTCTTATCTAAAACACCTATTTCTAAAACACCTATTTCGACTAAAAATCGAAAAAAATTCTCTTTAAAATCTTAAGTTTATAAATTTCAAATTCTTGAATTTATTAGTGTCTAAGTTCCGAATTGATCTAATTAAAAAAATCTTAAGTTTTTAAATTTTAAATTCTTGAGTTTATTGATGTCTAAGTTTCGAATTGATCTAATTAAAAATTATTTCAAACATCTTTAATTATTTTTACCGTTTTAGTTTCATCTCAAATACTTAAAAATCAAAATTTTCAAATAACTACCCACTCCAAAAACATTAAAAGCATCGCTTAGCATCTTGAAAGCGACAAAAATCAAGAGCATAATGTACTAATGTTGAAGTGAGAATAGAAAAAATTAGAGAACTAGATGGTGAAAGAGAAAAATCGAAAACACATATGAAAAAAAATTATGATGAATAATTTAATTTAATTTGAAATAATTGTGAAAGTATTTTTATCTAAATCATAATTAAATATAGTTAAAAATAATTAAATTTATTTTGATGATTATTTTTAAAATATTTTTATTAAAAAATTATTTCGCACAATTTTCTCCATAATTTATTATTTCGTACTATCTTAATGAATTATTAGAAAATCTCTAAGAAGAGGCGCATAAAGAGAAATTTAGCTACATAACAATATACCTTGGAACAACCATTCACAAGTTTGTGAACATTACATGATCAGCACTCAAACCGAAAGCAGAACAGAAAAACTGATTAAAAGCACAAATTCTCTTTAAGTACTTTCTACATCAACCTTTCAAAAGTTATTCTCTTTGTCTAACTGATCCATGACCGGAAACCATCACAAGGAATCACTTAGTACTACCACATAGAAATAAGTTTGCTCATGAATCATCAACATCAACAAGGTAACAGCGAAAACCTCGACATATGGCCTTTTTTGTCCTATAAGAAGTGCCTTTTCTTTATGCTGGACATTGGAATCCTCCAGGTGGAGTCTTCCCGCAATCGACGAGGACCTGAAGGGCAATTGGAATTATAATATTGATATTTAAAAGCTTGGCCTTTATTGTGGTGCAAAGGCAAATTGCAGCATCCAAGTCTAACAGCCCTTGAAGTACGGGGCAACATGTGTCCTTGGCGCTGCTGCCTATGCCAACGTGCACTAGGCCACCTAACACGTCCACACATGCACCCAGTTTCAGAGTGTCAATGGGGCATGTTTGCTGCGCCGGCGGTGGTGGATATGGCAAGGGTGGGGGTGGTGGAGGACATGGTTTCTCGATTGGAGGTGGCTTCACAATAGGAGGACTTGGATATATAGGAGGGGTTGGAGGCAGGATTGGCGGTGTTGGTGGCTTCACAATCGGAGGACTCGGATAGACAGGAGGCGTTGGAGGCAGAATTGGTGGCGTTGGTGGCTTCACAATAGGAGGACTCGGATATACAGGAGGCTTTGGAGGCAGAATTGGTGGTGATATGACTGGCGGTATTGGATAATAAGGTGGGGGTTTGACGACGGGTGGTTTGGGTACATAAGGTGGCTTAGGTACAGGCACGATGGGGGGCTTCGGTACATATGGTGGCTTGGGCACCGGCACGTAGGGAGGTTTTACAACTGGAGGTTTTGGTGTATAGGGTGGAGGCTTGACAACTGGAGGTTTTGGTGTGTAAGGTGGAGGCTTTACAACTGGAGGTTTGGGTACATAGGGAGGCTTCGGCGTATAAGGTGGAGGCTTTACTACCGGAGGTTTGGGTACATAGGGAGGCTTCGGGTATAAGGTGGAGGTTTTACTACAGGAGGTTTGGGTACATAGGGAGGCTTCGGTGCATGAGGCGGGGCTTTACAACAGGAGGTTGTGACGGATATTGGTGCATTGAGCGGAGGCTTTACAACTGGAGGTTTGGGCACATATGGAGGCTTTACGACAGGAGGCTTGGGTGGCTTTGGAGGATGGGGAGGATGTTTTGGTGGTTTAGGGGGAAACGGAGGCCTCACAATGGGAGGATGTTTGGGTGGATACTTTGGAGGAGGACATTTGGCGGAGGAGTTGGGTGTGGACATTCGGGACAGGCAAGGAAGTGAGCAAAGCTCCCAGGTTCAGAAGAAGGATAATCACATTTGCTAAATTAAGCTTCCCCATCATCAAGCTTTTCCCCTCCTCTCTGCGTAGGGAGTGGGGAGTAGAGTGCTTAATTTATTGTCACTCACTCTTCGTACGAGGCACTTATAGACCATGCAAAGGCAGACAAAAAGAAAGCAACCAATTATACAAAAGGTTTTTTCCTGGTAATTTATTAGAGCCTTTGGACTCATTCATCGACTTAAGAACTTCATTAGTCACAGACTCGAGCTTGCAAAACTTAACCCAACTTAATTTCATGCATACTTCACTATCAACAAGGGATAATAGGGAGTACACATTTTTTGACATGAAATTTTCAACTCTCGAGGACAGGGGAATCTGTAAAACCGCGTGCTTGATTGGGGACATTTTTAACTTGTAGTGCCTGTTGAACCCGTGATTGGATACTCGGCTTAATGGAAGCCCAGCTTGCATGTGAATCCTTTCACCATTCCATTTTCTTTACATTAAAAACTTTTGCAACATGACAAACCTCGCCCAGATTTTTTCATTCACGTAGATAGCGACAGTCCTATCCTGAATAAGACCACTGGGCCATCCTCCAATGTCGGTCAGATACGTACAAACAGTACACACTACATTTAAGTAATTATCATTGCTTTGCTTTATACATGCACAAGAATTTTTCAAATAGCCAAGTGTCTAAGAATGCATGAATTTGTCCACATCGAGCGTACGTTGAGATTTTTTCTCCTTATTTGCCTACAATTTTCCACTTCCTATGGAACTCTACTTGCTTATGGAGATATATAGTAAGTGGAGTAGGTTCAATTAATCAGTCAAAAGATTGATAGTGATTGTTCTATCATCTTTCTGGTTGTGGTGCATAATGGACTATCGAATTAAAGTCTAAAATCAAGGATAGAGAAAAACCCACCATGATCTTCATAAATTTAGCACTATTATCCATTGTCAAAATCAGTTGCACTGTTTTCTAACATATATGCCTTTGAGTACATATTGAGAATCTTTTTTTGACGATTCAGACACATATTGGAGAACAGATGGATGATAATTATTATATTCTGGTGGGTTAATTAGTAACTCAGCAAATAACAACAGACTTGGCGCGAAAGTCAATCACATGAACTAATCATAGCATATTTTGTCTTCACTTTTTGGATCTCAGACGACGACGTGCGCTCTGGAGAAAAATGGGGAATGGGGCTTCATTCTTACTTGAATGCTACCCCGACCTTCTCATCCCTCCAATCCTACTGTCTTCTTCATTTTCACAAACAACCTTCCTATTTAACTTGTGAGCTAAAAGTAATGAAGACCCATCACATTGCTGTTGAAATGTTACATCAGAGACGCTTGGGATATTAATTAAATATCTTAACTCTATCATAGTAACTTTTTTTCTTTACTCCTCTTGGAGTTAAAATTAGAGTTGCCTATTGACCACTCTTTGTTTTATTATGTTTTACTGGCTAAACTAGTCGAGGTAGATTTGTGCATCGATAATTTTCATAAAATTTTTGAAGCTTCTAAAATATGAATACCTGATATACATTTATCGGGGCCTATATATCAACAATCTAATTCACATTTATAATTTATGTATAAATGCTGATATATCATATTATATAGTCTTCAAAAATATAGATATATACATGAAGGAAAAATGTGATAATGAAAATATATACTGTAATCATTTTTTTTACCAAAAAAAGAACCAACCTAGTAGTCTATATGTATCATAATCAATTTATTGAATTGCTAAGCTACTTTAGGTCGCTTCCTTTCCTCCAGCAAAGGTGAGCTGGAGAACATGAATGAGACCGCACCAAACGGAGAAGAGAGAAGAAGCAGTAATATTTTTTATCAATCAGAATCAGACAGCCGAGGGGGGAACAAAAAATAGGGGGCCCTCAATTTACACTGTTTGCAAACCTTACGCGTTCCTGAAGAAGGACCAGAAGAAACCGATTGAATTGACATTTTTGGAATTCTTCTCCCATAAATGTTGCTTCCAATCCATACATGGCACAACCCCTTCCCCTGTGGTTGGCCTCTTCCTTTCCACAAAATGCAAAAAATACAGAAGGCAACAAATAATACTGGGCAATTCAACAAAAACTTGCCACCTGATTGCCACTATACTTTCTCCTTGGAACGAAAATGCTCTTTTCTTCTTGGAGGAGTCTTTGGAAACACAACTCTTTGGAAATACCTTCTTGAAGAAGTCTACTAAGATAAAAAATCTAATTCCACAATTATCGATCCCATGCTCCAAGTTCCCTTCTTTGATGCAAAAGAATAAACACTTCCAAAACTTGATAATGGTCAATAAAAGAAATTTTTACTAATTAATAAACAATGTGTTGGACATTTTCAGTAACAACAAGTATATATGGCCCAATCTCACATTGGAAGAAATAAAGAAAAGGAGTATTCTTTAAATTAAGATGTGTATGAGTCCTTCGGAGTTAGACTAAACTCGGTTAAAGTGTAAAATGGACTATGACTAGCAGACTTTCCAAACCTTTAGTTGATCTTTTAATTTAATTAAATTAATAATATAATTTATTTCTTTAATAAAAATACTTGACACTTGGCGCATGTAATTAATTAAATAATAAATTATATTTATTTTTAATTATTTGACTACGAACAAATATATTTGTCCAGACAAACAGTTATGTCTAGACAAATAGACATGTACTTCTCTTTAAATAGAGACTCCTCTGTTTAGGACAAACACACAAGAACAACTTCATCAATCTCTCATTCTTTTCACTATAATTACCTATTATTAGAACATAGGATTGGAAAACGAATTAAAAGAATGATTTCAAGACGTGTATTGATGCCACTATCTTAAAATTTTATCACCCCGACTTACAATGTTCAAAAAGATTATGAGTAATAAGCCTCAAGGATACAATGAAGTGATTGATTAAATTTACACACTGTTGAAATCAATCCATTGGGCATTTACTTGTATATAGTAAGATTACCTAACTTCCTTACTTTATAGGAGTTTTTTACAACAAAAAGATATATAAGAAATCTGGATAACATTGAGAAAGAAGTGAGAGATTATAGTTTTTTATTTCTATGTATCCTTTTAATCTAGAGTTCAAGCGACACAATTGTTGATTTTTCAAAAGACATGACTATCCTTTTATGGTCAATTAATGCTTGCAAGTGCCAAATTAATTTAATTAATTTCAAGACCAATCAAGGCTTGAAAAGTCCATCTATAGTTCATCTTGTACGTCAACCCACTTTAGTTCTATTAATATGAACTTAATTTCCTCTTCATTTAAAAAACTCTTCTTTTTTTTTTTTCAATATGAGATTGTGTCCTACATTTATTATTATTGAAAATTTCGGCACTTATATACTACTTTGTTGTAGAAAAACACTACAAAAGGCTGATAATCTTGCCACACACCATTGAGTAGTAAGATTTCGTTGATGCAAATCGCAATCAAACATTGGACTTTATTGTGTTCTTGAGGTTATTGCTTTTTTTAACTCTTTTGCACATCTTAGTGGGAGTGAATGAAACTTTAAAGATGGTAACATTATTACACACTAATTTTGAAGTATTTCCCTAATATTTGTTGTTTTCCAATCCTATGCTCTAGCATAATGGAATTTAGAGAAAAAAAAATCTCCAATATTACGGGACATAATTCTTCCATAATTTTGGGGCTCCAACAAATATAGCCTCCACCCAAACTCAATTTTTTCAATCCCATGAAATCCTAATCAATCACAATGTGGACTCTGGCAAAGGGGTTGGACTTGAGGTACTTGACTACTTGTAATTTATTGGATTTCGGATGAGAGCTTTTGAAGATGTTGACAGTTTAGGGAGGGTTGGGGTAAGATATCAAAGGGGTTGGACTGGTGGTCTGGTGATTTGGATAGAAAACTCAAAGTGATGTTGAAGGTACTGCCGTCACTTGGTACCATTTTGATAACTACCATAAGGTTGGAGATAACACTAGGACAGGAACAAAGAGCATGGGAGACAATTCACTGATAATGTAGCCAGATTGTTCTCCTGTTGTATGAAGGTTCCAGAAATTTAAGTCTTCAGAGCTGGCCTGTGTGGGAAAATCTTTTTCACAAATAAACTTTCGAAATACATATACCAAATATTAGTATGATTAACATCCGAGTATTTGACTAATTGATTGATGCATGTGCTCTTTGCTTAAAAAACAAGGTTCAGATCCCTGTCTCTCAATTATAAACATATATATATTAATATGATTAACAATTCAATAAATATATAACTGAAACTAAATGCAATAAAGATAAAGAGCATATAATAAAAAGAATTGCAAACTCAATTCATAGTGGTTTGGTCCTTCCTCTTGGTGCCCATGTCCTATCCCTTAGCTTTCTAAGGAGTTTAACCTACTACTCAATTTAACTAATCAAATACATTTTGAAACCTAATTCTATCTTTCAAAAACTTAGATAGAACCTCTAACATTATCTTTAGCAGGTTAAAGTATAACTTCTTTATCTTTCAAAGGCTCAAATAGAACCTTTAACACTATTTTAGGATGACTTATATATAACTTCTTTATCTATCAAAGATTTGAGTATTTGATAAACTATACAAGCAAGAAAACCTCTAACAGATAGATATTACTTAGTGAATACGAGGGCGTATGTGCTACTCCTGAAAATCTAATAGTGTATCTTTTTGGACATTTAAAAAAAAAATTCTTCTTTGAGTTGAACCTATATCGTTCTAGAAAATTAAAAACTTAAGTTTGATGCTTTTCAAAATAAAGAGAAAAAGAATGAAATAAAGGAATATATAATTAGAGGAAATTTACCTACCACAGTGAGTGAACAGAAAGATGGGTAAAATGCAAATGCTATATTCTAACCTATATTCTTATATATTGTTTTTAACACATTTTACCTCAAATTTTCTTCAAAATTTCAATCTTTTCCTTGCCTAAAAAATCATCAAAATTGAGGTTGTTGATGATCATTCTCAATCATCTTCGATGCTTGTGATTTATCGTTAAGTAATC